CATCCATCCATCCATCCATCCATCCATCCATCCATCCATCCATCCATCCATCATCCATCCATCCATCTAACCATCATCCATCCATCCATCTAACCATCATCCATCCACCCATCCATCCATCCATCCAACACCGTCCATCCATCCTTCATCCATCCATCATCCATCTAACCATCATCCATCCATCATCCATCCATCCATCTAACCATCATCCATCCACCCATCCATTCATCCATCATCCATCCATCCATCTAACCATCATCCATCCATCTAACCATCATTCATCCATCCATCATTCATCCAGCCATCATTCATCCATCCAGCCATCATTCATCCATCCATTCATCCATCCATCATCCATCCAAACATCATTCATCATCCATCCCCTATTTTTTAGGACACAAAAAAAAAACACAATTAATTGTTTAGAAAAATCATGTACACATTTTTTTTAGACCTTTTATAGTTATTGATGGGTAAACTTTCATTGACGAGCTTTGTCAATGTGTTGAGTCACTTCCGGTTCACTCAGGGCTCAGAAATCTTTACTATTGAAGACTATGATATGATATGATATGATATGATATGATATGATATGATATGATATGATATGATGATGACTCGTGTCAGCACTTGGGCATGCGCAGTAGGTCCTCAATACAGAGATTGTTTACCGGTAGTGGGCAGCAGGATTTGGACAACCAACCAGTCAAAAAATGGAGGAGCTGGACAACTCAGCTACTTCTCTTAAAACAAAACTTTTTTTTAGAAGAGAAGACATCAGGAGAAGCTCAAAGTAAAAGAGTTTGGATCCGATGAGCGGGAAATAAAGACAGAGGGAGAGTTTACTCCCGGACCTGGATTAGCGACAAGGCTAGGCTAGGCTAAGCTAACCGCTAGCGAGGCTAATGTTTTGCTTTCACTGGCTCCCGTTTCAAGCATCAGGATCTGACCCAGCATGGATTAAAACAGGTAAGAGAAAAAGATAAATGTCTTTGCARTGTTTGTTAATTATAGTAGGGCTATATTGTCTTAAATTGTAATGTTGAACGTTAAGTTAGGTCCTAATATATAGTTTACCTTAGAGGTGCAACAATTTGTTATTAAATGAACATGTATTTATAACATCAGCAGTGGTGGACAAAGTACTCAACTCTAGTACTTGAGTAAAAGTATTGATACTCATGGTCAAATCTACTCAAATACAAGTAAAAGTTACTTCGTCCAAACTCAAGTTAAAGTACTGAAGTACTTACTTTTGAAAATACTTAAGTATTCAAAAGTACATGCATTTAAAAGTTCTCAAGTATTCAAATGTACAAATAACATTTTCTAATACCAGTAAATTGCTGTATTGTTTTCAGAGTGAATTTAAAGAACCCTGTCACTCAGAAACCACCTGACGTGTTGACGTGTAGGACCACTGTGGYACAAACAAATTCACCACCTGTAATGACTTCAGCATAAAAATGCAATAAAGWGAGYGGTGAGTTCTTAAATGCAGAAATGTATTTTATTTGCAGGGAACCCAGAAGACATTTAAACTGATACAAACAAATTTTCAGTCCTAAAATGTCAAACATGGAGCTGAGACATGGTCGTGGCTGGTTTCTCTACGCTCGACAACAGTCTCCATCGCTGGGTTCTGTTTGAAATGAAAGTGGAGCTGAGCTTGTGACCATTAATGAAGATGATGTAATTCCAAATCTATCCTAGATGTGAGCTACGACTGTGGTTGGTTCCCCGTGAAGAACATAGTGTGGCCAGTTGCATTTCAAGAAAGAAAAACAACAACAGTGAATTACAAAGCTGCTGAACCAAAAGTAACAAGTAACTAAAAACTTCCTAGAAATGTAGTGGAGTAAAAAGTACAATATTTGTCTTTGAAATGTAGTGGAGTGAAAGTCATAAGTACCCCAAAAAGTAATTACTCAAGTAAAGATAGTCAAAAAAATGTACTTAAGAACAGTACTCAAGTAAATGTACTCCACTACTGTCCACCACTGAACATCAGTTGTTTTTATATATTAAATATATTAGAAAGCTCACTTGTAGCCGTCTCCATATTGAATTAAATTTATGCATTTATTGTTTTAGGTTTGTGACATCATCTTGAGCCATTCACATGCATCTGATCAGTGCTGCAGGCAGGCAGGTTCCTGCAGGACAGTTCTCTGAAGCAGCTCTGAAGACCATGGAGGCTCACCCAGTGCTGAACAGGACCCAGAAGTCTGATCTATTTCAGGAGCTGCAGCKTGGCTCTGTACCAGCTCTTCATGGAGAACAATCTGCAGGACACCTTCAGAGACTGTGGCTCTGCTGAAGATCCTCATCACATCTCCTCTGACCACAGCTGAATCTGAGAGGAGCTGAACACTGAAGAGAATCCAGACTTTCCTCAGGTACAACGCCACATCTCACTGCACTGACCATGCTCTATAGAGAAGAACCTTATTAAAACATCCTGACTTTAACCAGAGTCATGAAGAGTTTTGCTTCTCAGTAACAGAAGAGCAAAATTTTTGTGCAAAAAAATTAAACACTACATGACATTGTGATGCTGTTTTATCATTTTCATTTGTTTAATAAATACACTGGAGTGATACAACTTGCTCTTTGCGATATGTCTACTTTGGAGTTGTAAAATCCACCAGTCGCCTCTGTACAGATGAGCACAGAGAGAAGATGTGGGTCAGAGCTGTGAACCAGTAAACTGGTGTACAGTAAAGGTTCACCATGACCTCGTTAATGTGGTTTTTACTGTAATGCTTCATTTAAAAACCTCACAACCTTTTAAAATGTCAGTCTGTTTGCTTTTAAACAGGAAGCAAACATTCAGTGTAAATTATTATAATGTCTAATATGGTAATTACCATCTCGCTGCCACGGAAAATGATTGATCATGCCTGTATCAGCATGTGTTGTTAGTAAAATATCTCATCAACCAAAGGTGGAAGTTAATGAAACTCAGGAAGTATTCGCTGGATGTTCATCTAAGCTGTGTCTCAATTCGTGGGTTGCAGCCGACGTTGGCCACAGTCTACATGGGCCTGTTTACATGACAACATGCTGCCTCGTTACCATCAATCAATCAATCAAAACTTTATTTATATAGCACCTTCCACACCCCAAGGCAACCAAAGTGCACTGCACAGCAAAATATAAAAAAATACAGTAATATAAAAGCATGCAAACAATTACAACTTCCAAAATAAAAACAGARGAAAACAAGAGAGAGAGAGACTGGACTGCATGTGCTCTCTGGAGTTCAAAACAAACCAAAAAGATAAGTTTTTAAAAGAGATTTAAATTCATTAAAGTGTCCTGGCAGACCTCACTGAAAGAGGGAGACTGTTCCAAAGTTTAGGAGCCACAGCTGAGAAGGTTCTATCCCCTTCATCCACCAGCCTGGTCCTGGGAACCACCATCTGATCCTCACATCTCAGAGCTCTACCAGGATGGTAACTGTGTAGCAGCTCAGAGAGGTAAACAGGTGCCAGACCATTTAAACATTTAAAAACCAAGAGTAAATCTTGAAAAACAATCCTAAAGGAAACAGGCAGCCAGTGAAGAGAGTACAATATAATGAAGTGACAATCAAAATTCAAAGAGCCAGCAGCACTGTTAAATCCTACCACCTCTGCTTTACCACGTTTTATATCGCATCGCTTCAGTTGTTTTTCAAGGTATAACTTTATATAAATTCAGTTTTAATAGGAAAACGTCCCAAATTAATACATAAAAAGCATTAATAATGTGGGTTTAGCTCCAGTATCAGTACTTGAAACTAGATTTCATTTAACATCTCATTGCAACAAAACTTTCCTCAGCTAAGTTTTAAAATTTACATTTTTCAGTCCGTGGTAAATTTACAAACTCGGCTGTAAAAACAAAATAAAATTAAAAAAACTGCCATCTTTGTTTTTCTATTTAATTTGCTGACGACGCAATAAATGCTGGGAAACCGTCGGTCACGTATACTCAGGTGCAGCCGATGTTTTCGGGGTTTTGTTGGCTGTGTGAGTCGGCACCCGTGAATTGGGACAGCCTACGGCGCGGGGCGGTAAGCCGCCAACAAATATGCCCCACGTCGGCTGCAGCCCATGAACTGAGACACAGCCCTAGTCAACCAGATTCATAAGTGTGGCGGCTGTGGTAGAGTGGTTAGGGGAGTCATCCTGGAACTGGAAGGTCACTGGTTCGATCCCCGTTGCAGTCATTGTGTCCTTGGGCAAGACACTTCACCCACCTTGCCTACTGATGGTGGTCAGTGGGTCCGGTAGTGCCGGTGCATGGCAGCCCGACCTCTATCAGTGTCAGGGAAGCTGTGGCTACAATGTAGCTTAACACCATCAGTGTGTGAATGGATGAATGTCTGAAGTGTAAAACGCTTTGGGGTCCAAGTGGATTTGATAAGGCGCTATATAAGTTCAAGGCATTTACCATTTACAGCTCGTCAACTTTATCCACAAAAAAACAACTAGAACGCCGTCAGTTTTACAAATTTTAAGCTGAAGTTTGGTGTGGTAGTAGCTGAGAGTCATTTTCAGGACATATCCCGAGCACAAATAAATCACACAAACTGTTGTTGTCAAATCTAGTTTGGTTTCCTGAGCCTGGTTCTGCTGGAGGTTTCTTCCTGATTAGCAGGGAGTTTCTCCTCTCCACCGTTTGCTCAGGATGGGAGACTGTGATGAAGTGATTCAACACAATCTGCTGCTTTCTTCTTTAGATTATTCTTTTTATGTACAGTGCCCTGAGACAACGTATGTTGTGAATTGGCGCTATATAAATAAACTGAATTGAATTGAAATCTGTCAGCAAAATATCTCAACTACTGGCGAAACGTAATGAAACTCACTGTAAATAAACATTACAGCTATGATAACGACCCACTGGAGTGAACCCAGTTCAAGATGGCCACCACAGCTGATGATAGCAAACACAAAAATGATGACAACTTCATAATTCCTAAAGATTTTGAGCTTATGTTTGGTGTGGTAGTAGCTGCGAGTCGTCTTCAACACTGAGCTCTAACAGGTGTTCTGACAGGTGATTTTCACTCCAGCTGTATTTACTGGAGTGTTGTTTATGTTGGGGAAGGGTCCTGTCTGTTCAAACATCACATCACAGAGTCGTTGGGTRTAACCCACCCCTTCGTAGAAAAGATGAACACAAAGGAAGTGGCTAAGAAGAGCCGGTTCCAATGAAAACATGTTCATATGTAACACAAGCAAACAGGAAACCCTGCGATGCAGCCCGCTCTGAGGTCTTTGTGTCCTTGCTGTGAAAAGGATCTACCACAAGATTCACAGCTAGAGAAAAAACCTGAAAGCAACGAAAAAAGAAAAACAGCAGCTGCTCTGGTCACACGGGTAAATCTTTAGAAAAAAAACCCCACAGAGATGTAAATATCGAAGGTTTCCTTCATCATCACCATCGACCAGCTGATGAAGATTTGAAGGAGCAGCATGAAAACTGGAGTCGCTCTCACCTTTTATTTTATCTTCCCAGTCGTCTCAGCAGACTGCTGCCAGAAAAACCAGAGGAAACCAACAGGTTTGATTTTCATCCACGCAGATAAATTTGTTGCATCTTTTTGATGATCAATTTTATGTCTATCTGCAGGCTTTTACACTGCCTTCAAATTATACTGCAAATATGTTCCTAAATAGTCAATGCAAATAACAAACAATGTTATCAACTGGAAAAAAAAAACAGTATTTGTTTAAAAAATACTTTAAAATACACTGTTCCAAATTATTACGCTCAACAGAATTTCAAACATTTTTTAAGTTGTAAAGAACTGAAAATGGTCATTTGTTGAATTTGCAGCAGTAGGAGGTCAGGTTACGTTTTAACACAGGAGCCATTGAGATGGTGAGTTTTTGGGGAGTTTCTGCTTGAATTTCTTAGCAGGAAGTCAGAACAGAACTGCCCCCACCCTCTGAAAGTTTACTTTGGTTTGGTAGTTTATTTTGGTAGTTTGGTTTGATGGTTTAGTTTGGTAGTTTGGTTTGATGGTTTAGTTTGGTAGTTTGGTTTGATGGTTTAGTTTGGTAGTTGGGTTTGAAGTTTAGTTTGAAAGTTGAGTTAGGTAGGTTATTTTGATNTTGATGGTTTAGTTTGGTAGTTTGGTTTGATGGTTTAGTTTGGTAGTTGGGTTTGAAGTTTAGTTTGAAAGTTGAGTTAGGTAGGTTATTTTGATAGTTTGGATTGATGGTTTAGTTTGGTAGTTTGGTTTGATAGTTTAATTTGGTACTTTGGTTTGATGGTTTAGTTTGATGGTTTAGTTTGGTAGTTTGGTTTGATAGTTCAATTTGGTAGTTTGGTTTGATGGTTTAGTTTGATGGTTTAGTTAGGTAGTTTGATTTGATAGTTTAGTTTGATGGTTTAGTTTGGTAGTTTAGTTTGATGGTTTAGTTTGGTAGTTTAGTTTGGTAGTTTGGTTTGATTATTTGGTTTGGTAGATACATTTGGTAGTTGTAGTTTGGTGGTTTGTTTGATAGTTTGGTTTAGTAGATTGGTTTCATAGTTCTAGTTTGGTAGTTTGGTTTGATGGTTTAGTGAGGTAGTTTGGTTTGATGCTTTAGTTTGGTAGTTTAGTTTGATGCTTTAGTTTGGTAGTTTGGTTTGATTGTTTGGTAGATAAGTTTGGTAGTTCTAGTTTGGTGGTTTTGGTTTGATAGTTTAGTTTGGTTTGGTAGTTTGGTTTAGTAGATTAGTTTGATAGTTCTAGTTTGGTAGTTTGGTTTGATGGTTTAGTTTGGTTTGTTAGTTTGGTTTGGTAGATTGATTTGATGGTTTAGTTTGGTTTGTTAATTTGGTTTGGTAGATTAGTTTGATAGTTCTAGTTTGATGGTTTAGTTTGGTAGTTTGATTTGTTAGTTTGGTTTGATGATTTAGTTTGGTTTTAGTTTGGTTTGGTAGATTAGTTTTATAGTTCTAGTTTGGTAGTTTGGTTTGATGGTTAAGTTTGGTAGTTTGGTTTGATGGTTTGGTTTGGTAGTTTAGTTTGTTAGATTAGTTTGATAGTTCTAGTTTGGTAGTTTGGTTTGATGGTTTAGTTTGTTAGTTTGTTTTGATGATTTAGTTTGGTTTGTTAGATTAGTTTGATAGTTCTAGTTTGGTAGTTTGTTTTGATGGTTTAGTTTGGTTTGATAGATTCGTTTTATAGTTCTAGTTTGGTAGTTTGGTTTGATGGTTTAGTTTGGTAGTTTGGTTTGATGGTTTAGTTTGGTTTGGTAGATTAGTTTTATAGTTCTAGTTTGGTAGTTTGGTTTGGTGGTTTAGTTTGTTAGTTTGGTTTGATGGTTTAGTTTGGTGGATTTGTTTGTTAGTTTGGTTTGGTAGTTTAGTTTGGTTTGTTAGTTTGGTTTGGTAGATTAGTTTTATAGTTCTAGTTTGGTAGTTTGATTTGATGGTTTAGTTTGGCAGTTTGGTTTGATGGTTGTTTGGTGGTTTAGTTTAGTAGTTTAGTTAGGTTGTGAGCTCCACGCTGAACACAGAGCAGAGAAATCAAAGATTATAGATCTTCAGGTTAAAGCTAAAAGCTACAAGACCATCTCCAAGCACCTTCGTGTTCCTCTGACCACAGCTGACGAGATAAATGTAGAAGGTTCATGGGACTTTGGTCAACGTCCCAGGATGTGGATGCAAGAGGAAATGCGACCCCAGGTTGCAGCATGCAGGAACACCTTCAGGTCACAAACAAAACAATAAGACTAACATAAAACTCATGTGTAGGTCTTCAACAGGACCTGAACTACCGAGCTGTGGAGGGGGAGATCTTCATGATGCCATGCAGAAAATCGCGTAATAAGCTCACGAAGTGGATCAAGACAGAAGAAGACGAGGAGGGGAAGAAAATCACTTCATTTGACTGCGAAAGAAAGTTTGTTGCAGAAGTGCAACACTCTGGGACCTACAACAACTCTGAGTAAAAAATATAAAGTTAATTATGTGTTTTAATGTGTGAATGCTTATAAAGCTAACTTCAGCTTCCTAATGTTGTTTTTCCAAAAMTGCATTCATATTTCTTACAAAAACTTGATGTCACAGGCACTTTAAGGTTTCATCTACATCAAGTTGGAGTCAAGACTCCAYTGTGGGTCCTAAAACTCCAAATTTTGGGTTGTTAGAGGATTTCCTGAAATTAAATTAAGTTTAAAACTGACTGCTAAGAATGTTTCTGCTATAGTTAGATAGGGATAAAAACAATTGGTCTGTTAGCAATATTTGAATATTTAAACCAAAAATACTTTGAGTCATGAGTTTCTGACAGTTTTTATTTTTTTGTCATTTGTGTTTATTAGGAAATTGGTCTTAAATTTAATTTCACTTGGCATTAAAAAGTCTTAAATTGAACTTGCTTTAACCCTGTTATTGTTGTTGTTGTTGTTGTTGTTGTTGTTGTTGTTGTTGTTGTTGTTGTTGTCAGCAGGTTCCTCCTGACTCTGCAGGTTGTGGATAAACTCAGCCTGAGATGCTTCCAGCCGGAGGAGAGCAGCGTGACGCTGCGAGCGCAGGCCGGTGGGACCGTCTCCTGCCCGGGCCTCGCCTGCAGCCCCAACACCAGCGTGGTTTGGTACAAGGTGAAGCTCTGACGTCTGCCAGACCAAGTGTGAATCTCACCTACAYGCCAGGCTCACGCTTCATGTGGCTTCTTCCAGGAACACAGAGCTGTTTCTGAGCAGAGAAGAAGATCCTGTCAGCAGGAAGGTCTGCTGCAGCTCTGTACGGTCTACGATGAAGACTCCRGTGTGTTCTTCTGCGACAGACGAGTCGTGGAAGGAGGGGTGGCCTGGACCTTCAGGAGGGCCGTTAACGTCACGGTCGTACGTAAGTCAGGCCTGGAGTTCTCATGAGATGAAAGCTTGTTCTGACCTGCAGAGCTTCACAGGGTTTATCTGTTATCTGAGCAGGTTAAACCTGATCCACCAGCTCTGTGCAGGTTTAACGAGCTTAACGAGCTTAACGAGCTTTTGAAGGTTTTACCTACAGACCTTAAGATGTTCTTATTACAGAAGGACCTGGTTCTCCTGTTGTGTTCATTTCAAACTTTGTGTTAAAAATGGCCGCCCTAAAATATCTGATAAATCTTTGAGAACACTTAAATAATGTTGGAGTAATGATTCCTATTAGGGAAAGATTCCTGGAAGAGAAAAATGACATTTGTAGTGGGSTTTGTTGAGGAAATACAAATTAAAAGGACTGGTGAATTTTGTTAGGTAACGATTCATGTGAGTGTGTGTGTGTGGTGGGGTGGGGG